GAAATTAATTTCATTTTAACAGTCACTGACGGAGCCTTCAGTTGTCAGGCTGCCTCATACTGGATCTGGTGCCAACCTGGTTAGGTCGGTGTGCACTGCTGACTGACTTCTCATCAATGTTTGTGTGCTCCATTGAATTTTGTTTTTCTTATATTCACTGCGAAATGTAAATTATTGTGATTGTGCGGGTGTGTTTGGAATCCTACCACCTTATTTACTATAAATTCTAATGATATAAAACTATACACGTTTTTGAAGCCCTGGTTTATTGGGGCCAGACCATGGAGCCATTAAAAAACATTTTTTTCTCCACTATGTCAACCGACTTTAAAATTGGTGTCATGTGTGCTTTTTTTTTTTTTGTTTTGGTTTTTTTTTTTGTGCGATTTCAATGTCCCGCAGCAGCATCCTGAACCAGCTGCAGTCAGACAAGTGATGTCTGGCTGCTCGCTTTGGCTAGTTGATGCACTTGGAAAAAAAAAAATCCTGGTGGCTTCATTTGGCCTTTAAGTTTAGTGACGTCCATGCTGATGTCTTTCTTCTACCTTCAATGCACGAGTAACATTATTCGTCCCAAACAGTCGGCACGTGTCATGCGTGTCAAAAAAGTAAAACAATTTCTCTCCCACTGCGCTGAACTGTCTTAATACCGAGGAAGAGGAGCACACTTGCGCATGGACCTTCAGATGGGTATCGAGGGTAAAGAATAAACGCTCCATCGGCTTTGCATAGCATCCTCCAAATCCTCTTTCAGCCTTGGAGCCCAGTTACAGCCAATCAGCAGCGCATGATAAAATGTCCACAAAGTGGTGGTGGGTGTGTGTGTGGGGTGCAAATGACCCATTCATCCAGCGCATTGCAAAAAGAAAATAAAAGATGGGGGCAAGTTATTTATGGGAGGAGGCTGAAGGAAGGGGACCAGCATAAGAGGCGCCGGACGTGACAGCGGGCCGCTCATCACCATGGCGTTGCCGTGGGCGACTGCGGAAGAAGACGTCACTGGGAGAACGGGGGTGGGGGTTGGGGGGGGCGCACAAAGGAGGAATATGAATCTAGGAGAGCGGAAAAGGTTTTTTTGGGGGGGTGGGGGGGGGGCATCGGTATACTTTTCTTGATAGGGCGGATTTACTGAGGAAACGGGTGTCATGGGGTTCACAACGATGGGCCGCCGGTGTGAGGACTAGCATGGCGACGGCCGGTGTGGCACCGTCTGCAAATGTTTGATGGCAGCGGTGCAACGACAGATTCAACCAAATGAGCCACGAGCCCCCCCCTCCCGGCGAGTCATAAATAAGGCCCGTCTAAGTGGGACAAGGGTGTAGCTCAGAACTGCTTTTGCTTTGTTGGTGCCAGAGGGGAAGGAAAAAGAAAAAAAAGAAGTCTACACTTGATAAAAGAATTAAATGCGGGGACTTAAAGGTCCTCTGTCAGAATAAGCTAAATGCTGATGATGAGCATTGAGGGTCAGCGAGGCCTTCTCTGCGGGTCCAAACACTCTCAGATTCGACCCAAATTGTAATATATTAGACAGAAGTCATTTAGTGGATTTCTTAGTGTATGCTGAGGCTGAGCTGCTTTCATTATGTTAGAAATTTTTGTCAAATCAGATTTCAGCCTTGATGTGTTGCGATGACAATGTCATCCGGCGTGGGCCTTCGGACTCATTCGTGCTGGCCGGTGTAACTTTTAATGCGACTTGAACCAATCGCATTTGAAATTCATCCTCACAGCCTTGATGATGTCAGCATGTTGCCATCGTCTGATTGGTTGGTCAGGACTAAACTAGTTACATCGTCGCAATTGAAGTGGGGTGTGTAAACTTGTTTTTTTTCTTCTATGCACTGTCTGTGAATAGAAAGATAAATAGATACCTCAATCTTTTTACAATAAAAAAAAATTATTGTAAAACTTATTATTGTAAAAAATTATTCTATATGATGATAGGAATCCAAATTATTCAATTAAACTGTACTGATAGAACACTTAAGGTAAACACAGCGGCATACAAAGTGTTGTCCATAAAGTAAAACTCTCACAAATGAAAAACAAAGACAGTTAAAAAAATAATACCGTAATAAAACAGTAAAAAAAAAAAACAAACAAAAAAAAAACATAAAAACACTAAAACAATGCCGAGTTGAAAGCTTTTAAGATGGACAAAAAGTGGGTTTGCCAAGCTAACCAAGCAATAAAATTAGCTAACCAAGTCATGAAATATTTAAGCAATAAGCTAATTGATTACTAATACTAATCAGGTAGTAATATAAACGAAAAAAAGTGTTCAAAATATGAAGTTTGGTGGACACTCACATGTAATTTTCAGTTACATGTGAGTGATATACTTTTGTGTGATACACACACACAGTTTATATATGTACAAGTTGAACTGACATTTGAAATGGAGAGAGAGAAAAAAAAACAATCCCAGCCCGTTTGTTTATTCCTCAATGTCTCCCATCGCCAAATTATTTTGAGAGCCTGTCGATAAATTGCCGCATTTTCTTCAGCGTTGTCAAGCGTTGCTTTACGGCCCCCTTCGCCGCGGCCAATGTAAATGGAGCCGCGTCCCATCGGCCGCCTTGTGTCCCCTCTTTTCCCTCCTCGCTCGCGTGATTTATTTGCCTCAGTTCCAATATTTGTCGGCACTGTGTTTTCCTCCCCTTGTCTAAATGTCACCCCTTCTCCCAAGACAATATAGGGGAGTGGGAGAGAGCGAGGGACAGAGGGCAAGTGTGGGGCGGCGAGCGGCACAGCGAGGTGGGAAGGTGGGGAAGAAGTAGGGAAACTCGTAAAAAGAGCAACAAAGTTTGGGAAAATTAAACACTTGGGAAGGCGCACTCTCACATGCGACTACTGTACCGTACGCAACGGACACACAAGTGCTGTGACATGTGTGAAGAAATACTGTGCTCACGCCAACAAGTCAGAAAAAGTTATTTATCGATAGGTAGATAGATTTTCTGAACCGCTTTATCCTCACGAGGGTCGCGGGCGTGCCGGAGCCTATCCCAGCTGTCTTCGGGCAGTAGGCGGGGGACACCCTGAACTGGTCGCCAGCCAATCGCGGGGCACACATAGACGAACCACAATCCGCGCTCACACTCAAAAAAAAGCGGAGCACCCGGAGAAAACCCACACAGGCACGGGGAGAACATGCAAGCTTCACACAGGTGCATCCACAATTTTCTTCAGCTAGCTAGACTATAATAGAGTAACTTAATTATTTTATAATAAAATATTTAATAAAATCTTATCAATTCTAAAATATACATTTTAAAAAGTTTGCAGTGGAAAATACCCCAAAATAGAACTCTATAGGAATAGGAATTTTGTAATATTTTTATTTTTACAATTTTGATGTTTTTAAAACAGCAGTACTGACTGATAAGTTGAAATATGATTCAAATAAATCCTTTTTATCATTAACGCATCTAATACAAAATAGAAAAAACATCTCAGACTTGCAGATGGCCAAGGTTTAATTTTCTTACAATTGCATATTTGCAATTTTAACCGACACATTTATTACAGTGGTCAACAAAAATGTTTTGAAAGGTCACAGCTATATATTACAACGTAGGGTAAAATTGCGCAAGCTGTTCTAGAACATACTTCAAAATGAAAAATATCAAAAATGTAGTTTGGTTTCGGGACACATAAGCCCATCCCTGCTTGAAATTTGCTGTTGACCGTATTTTCGTATCACTTGATTGACGGCTTTGCATTGCATGCGTAGGTATACACACAAGTGGCTTCCAATCAGCCCATCCCCTCATTTTGTGCCACGACAGCACCAGCAAAGAGCTTTTATACACTGCTGTCAACTGCGTCGTAGTGTACGTAACCAATCCCACTGGCTCACTTCCATCCATCCTTTCCACAGCCTGGATCACGTCCGTCCATCCTCGCTCCCACCCTCACTTGGGCCGCCTCTTTATAACCCAACAGTGCCACTTCCAACCTGGAACTTGCTACGCACGCACGATGGAAACTGCTCATGATGCAGTGCTCCAAACGGATACTTGATAGATGCTTCCGGAAGTGGTTCAGATCATTTTGTTCCGGTAAAGTCAACACGTGGACTTGTGTTTTTGGGTTTTTTTTGAAGGGGGGGGTGGAGGTCTGAAGAACATGCATGCAGTTTGCAGGAAAGGTCCACACGAGTATGCTGAGTGGAAAGTGACGGGAGAAATCATCGTTGCGAACAACTTGGATTAAATTTGAATTTGATCTGCAAAAATTAAACTGGAGACCACAGCACTGCAGACTGGTAAGATCTCATATTACTTTGGTTTGTTTTTAACGTTTACACCCAAAAAAATTATTAGAAAAAGATCAAGGAGTCATTTAACGACTTAATTTCTTTGTAGTTTTTTTTAATGGAAAAAAAGCAGGAAGGAATTCTAAGATCAAATTGTTCCCGCGTCTTTTGACAACAAATAATACTTTCACGTTTCAGTATTTAATATTTAAAATATATTTTTTAAGTGTAGGGTTTCAGTGTAAGATTCTTGCAAAACTTTAAAATGTAATTTATTTTATTTTTACAGTTAATTTTTTTTAAACTATCGAGAAGCAGTAGTATGAATTATCAAAAGACATTTAAAAAAAGTCTCCAATTATTGATGACAATTTGGTTAATTTTTTTCTCCCCACGCAAATATTGGGATACAATTATTAAAAAATAAGACATAAAATATATTATTTTTCTTTTTTTTCCCCACAAAAACACCCTAAATGAGCAGTACAAATTGTCAAAGTAAAACATTACTCATTTTTTTTCCCGAGTTTTTGGTGGGACATTCGTATTTTTCATAAAAAACATATTTAAAAAAAAATAGAGAGATTAAGAAAACAATACTGTGCTTTAGGAGCATATTACATGCATGATACTACACGTGTTCGAGCTTTATATTTGCATCGATTCGCAGCAACTCCACTAAAATCACTGCCTGTAAAATCAAAATAGAGCAACTTTTCTTGCAGTTTTTGTTTTTTTTTCTCTCAGAAACAAATGTCAACATAACCTCGCTATAGTTAAGGTCTGACACACGACTGGCCAAACTTAATTACATTTTTCACATTGACGTTGGGGCCTTTTGGGGATGACATGCAAGTCGCAAGTTGATCTTGGGAAAAATCTCCCGCACGCCACCAAACAAAGGTCACAAAAAGTGCTCACGCAGGTCGATTTCCACAGGTACTGTTTGTCATCTAAAGGAATCTTCGGTTCATTGGCAACAGCTATGAGGGGCTCAAACCTGGGTTCAGGAGCAGGAACATAAGAGCAGACGCACGGACGCGCTGTCCAAAGACCCCGCCTGACCTGACGCACGCAGACGGGACGACGGCCGGACGGTCTGATGCCAAGCGTCTCCACTGTCAATCTCACGGCACCACTCCTCCTTCTGTTGCTATGGGCGACGCAGCCCGCCATGGCAACCAACTGGCTGTAAGTCGACCGCGCGCGCGGGAGGGAGCAAAAGAAGAGCGTTTGTTTGTCATGCTGTAACGTTTCAAAGATAGTGACATGTCTCCCCAAACCCTTTTCAGCGGCTCACCATTTTTTTTCTTTGTCTCCCCCGTCGGTGACCTTTCCCTTTTCTTTCTCTTTGCCGTCACTGAGGCGTCTTCGGCTTCTTTGGATCGCTTGTCCCATCGTTTTCATCCCACCCCCACCCAAAACTCGGGCGACTCGTTACCCCGTCGATCTTTCGCCACCATCCATGAGTTCTTTGCTGTGTGCTCCTGAATTATGATCCCCTTTGGACTCCCTGTGCGTCACTAAACGACATAGGTGGCCAAAATACTTTAGAAGAACAGAAAGATTGATAAAAAGTGCAAGAAGTGGATGAAGAGATTTGTCAGAGATAATAAATGTTTGAAAATAACTTAGAAATGTGCAAAGACTGAAAACTACTGTAGCGAGTTGTTTTTAGGGCATGGCTAAAATGGCAGCCAGTGATGCCCTCGGGTGGACTAAGCTTGGCCTTTCAGTCCGCTAGCCGTGTAGTCATGGAACAAATACAACTCATTACAGATACAGCACATTTGACAATAAAGTTGTATCCAATCCAATCCAATCCAATATCTCAAGACACATTTACTTGGGAACTTATCAAGGAGAATTGCAAGTTACTTCTATTAGGCCCATTTATACCACTACAGCATGCAGTTAGCTAGCTAGAAAGCTATATGTCCGCACCGACAATGAAATCTGGTTGCCAGTTTGCAAAACCGCTTGATGTCATTTTTTTATACTTCCAAGTGAGGCGGTGACCCCATGGATGAGCCTGCTGCCCATCCGCAAGTCGAGAGGTTTCCCAAACGCCCGTTAGCTCCGAAGCTACCTGGTGGCTAGCCCCATTACAAGCCTGTGGGATTATTAATTAATTATTATTAATTTTTGACTCAGATGTACAAAAGTAAAAATGTATGTCAATTATTTACAATACCTATTTTGTTATCTTGGCACAATTTGTGGGGTTAGCATAGCTAACCAAGAGTTAGCTATGCTAAGGATTTAATTGTATCAAATATATTTTTTTTACCATAGCTTTACCAACTTTGTGATTAATATATATATATATATATATATATATATATATATATATATATACACACACACACACACACACACACACACACACACACACACACACACACTGAAAATATAAAAACTGTGTGAAGCACCTTCCGCCCTGTGTCCTCAGCTCCCTGGCGAGGCTGCCTCGCTCCAGGCCCGTGTCCGGTGCTGCCCCATGTGCGCGGCTGAGGGGGCTGACCCCGGGGCAAGTGGGGGTGTGCAGGGCACGGGGGGAGGTCATGGAGTCGGTACGCAAGGCTGCCGAGATGGTCATAGAGGAGGTAGGATGCCATTCTACAACAAAATCCATTCATTTTCGAAAGAGTTCGTCCTCACGGTAGGCGCGGGTGGAGCGGAGCCATTCCCAGCTAACTTGGTGGGAATTGGGCTAGACCCTGAACTGGTCGCCAGTCAATAGCTGGGCACATATCGACAAACGAGCACTGACACTCACAATCACACCTATGTCCAATTTAGAATCTCAGTGAGACATGCTAACAATTCATCCGCTGTGCTGCACTTTACTACAGCAGCTCTGCACTAAATGTTCCCCTTTTTGTTTTTATGGAAGTCATTGTAAAAGCACAGAATTAGTTTTATTTGACATTCAGGACGCTGTGATTTGTGGATTGAATCGAGTTCGGGCAACAGTGAAAAGCGTTGCTCATATTTTAAGTCTATAAAACAGGAAGGACACTTGTCGCTGTCATAAACTGGGAGCAACTTCAATAATTGAAGCGTAGCCATGAGAAGAGCTGAATTTTACTAGAGTGCCCTTACAAAGATAATTAGGACCGTTTTGATTCATATAGTTTGACGTCACCTAATGGTGTAGTGGGAACCAGATACAATGTCCGGACTCGTTGCCAGACATTCACAGGGAACATACAGACACAACTACGCACACCTATAAACAATTTAGAGGTTTCGATGGAGCTAACATCGAAGTTTCTGCAATTTGGGAGGAAGCCGCAGTATCTGAGATGGGAGTGGGGGAGGGGGGGGGGTGACTGGATTGGAAGCGAGAATCTCTGCCCATGAGGCAGGCATGCTAACCACAGACACTATCATGCAAACTTGCAGGGCAGATGGCAACAAAAGTGAGTACACACCAGGTGAAAGTCCAAAGGGTGCGCGTAGTCCACACGGTATTCAAATTAATTTAAATGCACCTGTCTTGCAAAATTGTGTTAAGCTCTTCTGCTTTTAGCAGCGTCCATGAAAATGATCCCCTTCGTAGAGGCAGATTCTCTAATTCCTATTGGATCTCTTGCGTGTGCACATGTGCCTAATCAAGTGAATTGTAATCACGTTTATACTTCCAATCCAGTGTCAGCATCAATTCCGGAACCGCCGCTGGAACTGTTCCACCACCCCGAGAGGGATCAATGTTTTCGGCAGAGTCATGAACCAAGGTGCGCCCCCGGATCAGCACCTCCAGTTTGCCCTTCACAAATTTCCTGCACGGGTTTTTACTTGCTGTTTTATTTGGGGGCGGGGGGATTGTTCTTAAACAGGCACTCGCGAGGCAGCCTTTGTGCACGCTCTGTCCTCGGCGGCCGTGGCAGTGGCCGTGACCCGGGCGTGCACGCGTGGGGAGCTGGAGAGGTGTGGCTGTGACAGGAAGGTCAGAGGGGTGAGCCCCGAGGGTGAGCATGGATTCTGTTACGTGGGAAAATTTCCGCAAAGGGGTGGGGTGGGGGGGTGAATGCAGTGACTCACTTCTCAAGGACGTGTCAGCACAGTACTGTCACTCAAAAAGTGTCCAAAGGTGCCACGGTCCAGTAAGAATGTTGTGGGTTTGAGAAGGAAAATTGGCATTTGTTCAAATATCGTTGATAGAATTGATAAAACCAGTCAGAGCCCACCTTTGAAATTCAAGGCTGTGCTGATGACTCAAGTGTTTTAATGTCCATCCAAGCAAGACTCTCCAACACTTGTGGATTGATCCCTGGTCAACCTCCGACCTTTGTTGTTCTACCGGAACACCCCTCCGTCGGGCTTCTGCCGCCAATCACGAGTTCTGCCTTAGCACGTTTGCCTGTCCCTGTGGCTCTTTGGGGTTCTGCTACCACAACAGCAGAAGCGCAACATTTCCTGTGGATTACAGATGTTTTCACAACTTGGTCCAAACAAGTCTCTCTGAATGGATTGTCAAGTGAACGACTCTGCACTGGGAATTTGACATGCTTTAGGACTTTGAAGTTCATATTCAGTCTTTTCCCACCAATCCAAGGGGTGCCCAAGTCCGGTCCTCGAGAGCCCCGATCCAGCCTGTTTTAGATGTCACCCTCATCCAACGCACCCGATTCCAAAGTCAGCTCATCAGCAAGTTTTGCGGAAGCCTGGAAACGATCCTGATCAGTTCAATCAGGAAAACGGACTGGATCGGGGCTCTCGGCGACCGGACTTGGACACCCTTGATTTAGGGTCCTTCAAAAAAACCTAACATGCATTCTTGGGAGTACCAAGAGAAAGCCCACGCAAGCATGGAGAGTATAAAAAACTCCACACCAGAAGGGTAAAGCAGATTCGAACCCCAAACCGAAGAACCCTAAGGCACTTTAAGCTTACCGCTGTAGAACTGTGCTGCAGACCTGGAAAATATTTGGGGAAAATGCGATCATTAATAGCATAGTAAAAGGAAACTTTGTGGATCAGGAACGAAGGAAGTTTCATTTGTTTTCTGTCCACCACACAGGTTTCCAGTGGTCGGGCTGCAGTGACAACCTGTCCTACGGCGTCGCCTTCTCCCAAACATTTGTGGATGAACCGGAACGAGCCCGGGGGCTGTCTGCCGGCCGACCGCTGATGAACCTTCACAATAATGAGGCCGGTCGAAAGGTGGCTCCTCACATCTTCCGTTTGATTCACCCCCCCCGATTTGGCGTTCATTGTCGTCGTCGTCCATCCTCAGGCCATCCTTCACAACATGCAGGTGGAGTGCAAGTGTCATGGCGTGTCTGGCTCCTGCGAGCTGAGGACCTGCTGGAAAGTCATGCCGCCATTCCGGCGCGTCGGCATTGTGCTCAAGGAGCGCTTTGACGGAGCCACGGAGGTACCGCGCCGGCACGCCTCGGTAACTCAAATTCACATGACCGAGCCATTCCTCCGGTAGGTCCGTCTGACTCGCATCGGATCCAGGACTGCTCTGCTCCCCCGCAACCCCCAGGTGAAACCGCCCGCTGCCAGAGACCTGGTGTACCTCGCACCATCCCCAGACTTCTGTCAGCTGGACCCTGACAACGGCATCCCCGGAACCGCGGGCAGAAGATGCAATGGTGATTTTTTTTTTTCCCCCTCCAGAGATGAAAAACTGTACAAGCCTGTTGATTGCAGGGTTCCGGAGCATACTCACAGGCATATATTCTTTATCTTTATCCTAAACAAAACTAATCAGTATAGCGGCGGAACAAACAATGAAATGTGATGTAGTAACGGGGAACCACCGTCAACGGGGATCCACTGTCAACCAAATCCAGATTTTCCTCAACCAAAATCTGACTTCTGGATCCTTTTTGTCCAATGACCACCCCCCTCCCCAATCAGGAACCTCGCGGTTAGCACCGGACGGCTGCGAGCTGGTGTGCTGCGGGCCGGGCTACAAGGCGGGCCGGGCCGAGGTGGTGCAGCGGTGCTCCTGCAAGTTCTCCTGGTGCTGCTCGGTCCGCTGCCAGCAGTGCAAGAACACCGTCACCGTTCACACCTGCAGAGTTTGAAGTCGCTACAGTCCCAAATCCGAGCCTCCTCCCGATTAAAATAAACCTAACACCTTAGAAGAGAGATCCCCAAACAAACACCCGACAAGACACTCCTGACCCACGGGACAAGGATAGGACTATTTTACCACCGATGACACGTTTATCTAACTCTTAATCATCTTACTTTCATAATCAGCATTATTTACAACGAAGCAGTGAGGCCGTTCTAAATTCTAGCGTACAAGTTGACCCACAAGCCTAACGAAAGCCCAAACGGGGTTCCATTCGTACCTCTTTGCATGTTTCGTACCTCTTTGCATGTTTCATAACTCTGAAACCGACAAGCGGCAGGCACAGTCGTGCATGCGGCACACTAGCACGCTCATCGCAATCACCCTGAAAAGTGGTTTGAGCATCGAGTCTTCCATATCCTGGACATTTCTTCAGGTCCATGGACTAGTTTGCTCACTTGCAAGACCGCAGCGCACTCGTCAAACCATCTCTTACGAGTGATGCTTTTTCCATTGATGGTGCCACTTTTGGTGTGCAATTAACCCTGTGACTACACACGAGAAGCCTCCTGGGCCATTCTAGTGGCAACAACAACAAAAAAAAAAAGCCTACAAGTATTTTTGCCTCACTCGTGTCAGTTTTCCTGCTAGTATGTCGACACAACATAGGGTTGTCCATGTACTAGTACGCTCCTCGTCCCCACTAGCAGGATAAATAATTGTTTTTTTTCACTAGTACGCCAAAGTTGTCCTACTACAGAGGACAATGAGCGTTTTAAAACCTGAACCTTAAAACGGATATCACGGATATAGAGTAACTGCTCAAACTACTAAAACAGCTTGGGGGCGCTAGTAGAATGATCCCCCCTCCTACCACACACTACTTTGTTTACATTTCTGCACACTAGTCGGACAAATTAGCCAACAACTTGTGGACAAATTAGTCGGTCAACAACTTGTAACTAGTGAGGCAAATCTTGTGAGCTAGTTGACAACTGCATGCTGCTCGTACGACTCGTTGCAGCATGAAATGCTACGAGCTAACATCGAGCGTTTCCCGAGGGGTACTAGTCGCGCGCAGATGTCAACTACTGCAGTTTTGCCTCACTTGTAAGTTGTTCTCCGACTAGTGTGTTGCTCTACTAGGATGTGGAATCAATGCTCCGTTTTCCCAAAGTCACCTCAACTCCTCAGCTAACCGTTTCGACTGAACCGACAATGCTCTCAAAGCTGACTGTCAGCGCCACGAGCGGAAAGGTTACGGCACGAGTTTTGCGCCCGAGCTGCGTTCACCTGCTTTCAGTTTATTTATTGCGCACCGGAGCCGTCGCTGCGCTTCAGCCTCCAGCAGACGAGTCTAAGGCAGAAAATAACTTCTACTGACAACCGTGTCCGTCTTTGTGTTTTGCTGCCTCACCACCGGTCAAACTTGTACGGGCACTCGCCGTGCTCTTAGCTTTGCTCGTGTCGTCTAATAAAGTGTCGTAGTTTTGTCCCCACAACACTGTGAAGTGCTTCTTTTGTCTGGTCGTCTTTGAAGACACGCAAAGAATTTTCAAACCAATTGCATGTAGAGACAATGTTAAAGTAACCAGGTCAAAAAAAGAAATGTGTCATTTCAACCATTTTATTACAAATATTACGCGATTACAAACTCCCACCAATTTACTACCAAAGGTTAACATCTTAATCGTTCAAGATGAAGATCGATACAAAATTTTACAGCTGAATTTTTGTCGTTTTGCATTAACAATCACCCTGTTTGTAGTCTAGTGATGTCACACACAAAATAAAATAAAACCTCAAGTTTCAAGATGGGGGTAGGGGGAAAGAAAATTTACTGCTAAAAAGGTCCCAAAATAAAGTCACATAAAATCAATGCAATATACACAAAGAAAGAAGAAAAGATAAATTCTTTTAAGTCACCTGCAGAAGGAGAAAAAAAATGCGAAAATTGCCTCCCTGCTCATCACCAAGTGTTTGGAAGGAAGTAGCGCTTTCAGAGAGCACTGCCTTTGTTTGGAGTGTACACAATCTCATGTGCTTCCATCATTCAAATCAATCAGGAAAGATATGACAGTACCACAGTTGCCTCTTTACATCATAGCCAAAGTGGACTAAAAAAAACTAAAAGTAAATATTGTTTTTTTTTTTTTTGCTCCATCAAACTGGGGGGGAAAAGCCCCAGCAGGACACTCAAAAGTCAAAAGCAAACGATATGGTCCTAAAAATCTCTTTCAAGGGAGGTGGAGGGTTCCTGCCCCTTTTGTGGAGAACACTACTCGCATGAAAAGCTTTCAGCCACGAGAAGACGGCTGCTACTACCCGCGTTTACTCTACTGCACACTGACCTTTCACTCCCTTTGTTTCGTTCAACTCTTTTATTTTTGAAGGCACTCACCACAATCCCCTTTTAATTCACTTTGTACCTTCCCCACTTTGTCTCTATTGGCCACTGAACTCACTGACATTTGGATTTCGCCCAAACCACCACCCTCCCCAACCCCCCAAATATGTTTTCTTATATACCGTTTGGTCTTTAACTGCTGCTGGCCTATAGCAGGACGCACCTCCTCCTGGTTTTGGTCTCGGGGGGCTCCAAGGCAGCCAGGATGGCCTCGTCGAACACATTCTTGAGGCCTCGCTGGTCGACAAAACAAAAGCATGCGGAGGTGTCAAAGTCTGAATGCAACTGTATGCTTTGCATACATTTAGATACAGTAATTATAACTTGACTATTGGAGTCATGACTTCCGTGCAAATTCTGGTTACATCGTCTCCATGGCAACACCCCCCCCCCTCATAAAGCGAGGACGCTGTGTACGCTTCTTAAACACTGCCTGAACCTTCTAGCCCAACAGTACCCGATAAACCCGACTTGAGACAGTATCGCTATGCCAACATCTTCCACTCCTTTCACAGTTTTCGGACACGCACCGTGTTTTTGCGACCCATGTTGTCTTAGCTGGTTTCGGTGTGAGGAAGTGGCACGCCATACCTGTGTGAGAGCAGAGCACTCGACGTATTTGACGGCCCGCAGTTCCCGGCCCAGCTTCTCGGCACTCTCGGGGTACAGGGGGCGCTGTTTGTTCTTGGCCAGCTTCTCAATGGTGTTGCTGTCCTCCCGCAGGTCCACTTGAGTGCCCACCAGCAGGAAAGGCGTGCGTGGGCAGTGGTGGGAAATCTCAGGAACCCACTGAAGAGGATGGGGGGGGGGGGGAATTTGATGCTCAGCATTTTTTTTGTGCAAAGGATCTACTTGTCTGTAGTGACAAACATCCATGCATTTTCCAGTATCTACAATACATCCTTATTTATAATGTGTTGACAAACTGCTCAAAACTGTGTTTCATAAGTGGCAATGTGTTTTAAAAGTATATGAGGGTTGTAAGGCAAGTTGAAGCCTAATAAGGGCCAAACCAACCTTCTCCTTGACATTTTCAAATGACGACGGGGAGACGACAGAGAAGCACACAAGGAACACATCTGTCTGCGGGTAGCTGAGAGGACGCAGCCTGTCGTAGTCCTCCTGACCTGAGCACGCGGGAAAAACAATGTGTTTGTCATGCGGTCGGAGAGAGCCACCAGCAAATTTCAATTCCAGTGAAAATTCCTTACCTGCAGTGTCAAAAAGGCCTAGTGTGTAAGGCTCGCCCCCGATCATCACCGTCACTGCATAGTTGTCAAAAACCTTATTTAAAAAAAGATGGATTGTTCATTTCCCCTCCAACAAATCGAGCAGAAAATGTGATTTCCTTGACGAGATAATCTGACCGTAGGCACATATTCTGAGGGGAACTTGTTGGTCGTGTAGGAGATGAGTAAGCAGGTCTTTCCAACCGCACCATCCCCAACAACTACACATTTTATAGTCTGCATCTGTTGAGGCAAACGCAAAAGAAATTAAGAAACATCAAAGTGTAGACAGGCTCCCATACGATTTTTTTTCACCACTTGATCAGTGTTGCACAATGTTAACAAATGTCTATTTGACACGATCCCCCAGATATCATCCCTGTGGGGTAATGCCCTTTTATCAGCTTCACGTGCTGTTATTTTTTATTTTTTTTTTGTTAATGCAGCAACCAGAATTGTAAATACTTCAGAAACTAACAGGGTTTAAGTCTTTTGGGGGTAGGGGGTGCACAACAACTAGACAATAAAACCATTGTGGAGTGTTCTCAGCGCTTTGGCCGTAACGTTCGTGTAAGGAGAAAAATCTGCGCTTGATAGTTGCGCCTTCTCGGCAGCCAGCATGCATGTACCCGCACTGATTTTGATGCGGGGGAATGTCGGCGCTATTTGACTGTCACCACTTGACGGCCCGGGGGCGGTGGGAGCGCTCATGTTTTTTGGGCCTTTTATCCGTAGCATTTTTCAGAGCCGTTTTGTTCAGTGGAGATGTCGGCGCTGTTGGGATAGTCTGCGTTGGTGCGGCGGGCCGAGGTAGCTTGAGGATGAGGAGAGAGGAACTGTGTACTGTATTTGGAACTGAGATTCGGCGCTTGGAATAGAAGATCTAGATGGGCCAGGAGAATTGAACTAACAGGACGCAATAGCTGCTCGTTTACTTTCAGACTTAGCTTGTAGCAGACCTGTGTGCCGTCAAGCGTGCTGTGATCATGACGTCTCTGATCCACTGGTGAAAGGAGACTTTGATTCTATCCTCTTCCATCTGTATTGTATAAGCGCTTCAAACACCAAGGCGCATCGGAATTGTTACTATTGTATTACTGTCCGTGTTCTATTGTGTTATTATTTGATGTTAAATGATTCATCATGCCACCGGATACACTTTAAAATGAAAACTAGTATATCGGAGTCCTAAAATGAGGGCAAAATAGGAAGGAAGAAGATTGAGTAAGAGTTGCTGTCCTTATTGCATGTTGCTTGAGGTCCATAAACAAGAATGTTAAGATGCAATATCACAAACGCTATACTTGCCTCAACATCATGTTACGAAGGTTTTGAATTGTGGTTTCTATCTAACAGTGGTGGGCATTTGCATCACACCAAGAGCCGTTTGCAATGGGGCTGAACAATTCATCAAATTCAAACCGACAATGCGATGGAGGAGAGTGCAATTTTCAAACCGCAAAGACTGCAAATTTGGGGGGGGGGTGCTGCATTTCAGTTGGTAGGCTTTCATGTTTATAAGTTGTAAGTCATTGTAAACACTTCAAAGATTTCAAACACAAATCAGTGTTGAGTAAATCAACAACTCAATACGGTAGATAAATAAAATGACATATTTATATGAATTCATGTTTCATTTGCGTTTATTTTAGCATAAGTCTATCCTATAAAATTTGACATTATTTATCATACTACAGGTTCATTTATTCCGGTTTGTTAACATGAGAACAGGAACTGGAAATAATGTATCGCATATAAAGTGGCAATGGCAACTTTGCGCAGGGGTGGGGTGGGGGGGGGGTCGTTATTGAATTACTTTTCACACTCATTCGGCCCTTTTTGCCAAACATGAAACTGGGCAACTGTACATCACAGTTAAGAAACATGAAATGAATGTTCAACTCGTCATTACCTGATTAATGGGCCAACTATTCATTCGCAGTATTATCTGAAGTTTATGTCGCTGGTGAACTTCATATTTTAGAAGGCTTTTTTTCTGCCTTAAGAGGATTGGCTCGGAAATGAGTGAGGCTCGTCGTGCCGGACTTGTTAATACACGTTCAAACCAAAGAAAAAAAAGACGAACGCGGATCACTTCCGCACAGGCCATTTGACATTGTCCCACAAAGAGCAACGCAGTAATCGTCCCAAGATATAAATTCCGCAATTATATCACGAAAGCCATCTTATATAAACAGCCTTAGCTTCGAAGGGCGGTGGGGGTGTGAATATTAAGGGCACAAAGACTCGGGCGACAATACAAAAGACAAAAATATCAAGTCACCTTTGTCGTATCAAATGGTCTCCACACACTAGTTAAGAAGGATAAACGTTCGTTGAGATGTAAAATGTGCCAAATGTGACAAGTGCACAAAGCAAATCGATGCTAGCCCCAGCATTATTACGCACACGCACGACTCGGTGGCAACGACACGGCTGGCAGTCGAATTTACTCACTTTTTACTCGGTGTGAGCCGCGATCGCTCCAAATGTTCTCGTGCGCGTGTCCACTTGTGGAAAAAAAAAGCACAAATGTCGCCGTTCAAAGCGGTTTTTACAACTCTACTCGCCGTTTTTTCCTTCCGACAGGTTAGGCGTTGGTTACATCCGGGTTTGAGGGTCGTAAGATTTTTTGCGCAGGCGTACAAGGGACGTGCTGCAATCGCATCCGTAGATGAAACAGCGCCACGCAGAGGAAGTGGTCACACGACAGACTATGAAAAATAAAATAGCCCATCTGGCAAACATGAAGCTAATTGTCATTTTATTTGAGAATTGGGATTTTGTATTACCAGTTTTGTGATGTCAACAGTTTGATATTAACATATTACCTGTTAAAATAGTCTACACATAAACGCAGAGCGTGGTGTTTTTCTTCCATACTTTTGTTTTGATAAATCTTATCCGGAAGTATCAATGGTCGACACAAGCGCCTGGTAAACTAATTTGCCTTCTCTTTGTCAAAATCTGACTTCCGTTTCTCATGTTTTGTTCGGGCTTCTGGATTCTGCCATCCCGGCTTTACAGCGAATTAGTTTTCCGCTTTGCTTCATCTGAAGTATTTCGGACAACAGAGTTGGCCCCCTGTTGATGTGGGAGGTGGGGCCGGAGTGCATCGTGTTGTCGTTCGTGGAAAACAAGGTCTATTTACCTCGCTAGCTAGCTACCTAGCTGGCTAACAGCAGCCAGCTGAATTGCATCACCAGCCGTCGAGCATGTTTCGATTCCTGAATGACGTCGACGACGACCCTTACATGCTGTGAGTCAACACACCCAAATTACAGCTTCAGTTGCATTTCGAGCTTCGTTTTGGAGCACATCGCGCGGGTTTCTCGGTTTGCTCGGAGGCAGGTTACTCGTTCCCTGGCCTGGTGTTGCACCAGACCTGTCTAACTACGAGCCCGGCCACATCACTTCTCAGTCGGGATGTCTTGCAATTGCATGGATATTGAGACACTAAAGCGTGTTGCAAGTATCTCTCAAGTAACGTGAGTGATTGATGGTGATGCAATCGCTTTGATTCGCCAGTGTGTTTCTGCATGACGGCGTACGTCATGCTTATTAAATAGAAATCCGGACAAGCAACGTGAGACTTAAGTGCAGAAGAAAATGAGACAAGTGATGATAGAAGTGGCAGATCCACCCCTAAACGGAGTTGTTATTTAGATTTAGGTACAATTAATATCTGATTGAATGCTCGGACATGTATATCAAATGCAAGCGCCATAATCTGGTGTCAATTTGTTCATTATTTTGGGGTGACAACTACCAGGTGGATGGATAGATACCTATCCCATCCTGAGGGTCAATAAATGGTCCGAGTTTATTTGGGTTTGGTATTTATTTGCACGAGCTACACTATTAAACCGTAGTCTTCTGCAGCCAGCAATTATCGATTAATCCACGAATTAGATAAAGAAAAAAAAATCTCAATTTCCATTTCTTTACTCAGAAACATAACATTTCAAATTGACACGAATTCATTCTGATTCCGTTGCTGCTTTGGTCTCTGTCAGTAATAGGCAAAGATGTACTGTTGAGAAGCTGAAAGCAATTTGAAATCTTAAATTGAAAAAGGTATCCAAATGATTCAAATAGTTTTCATTTAATTTGATAATGACTTGGTTGTCGACTCATCATTGAACCTCTCATCTTCTGGAAATTAGTTGGTGTCATGACATCAAAAGTGTCCAAATGAAACATGTTTTATGAACTCAAGCCTCTCAAATGAGATGTTTGGAAATTAGACTCTGGAAAAAGTGGCTCAACCCAGCGCATGTCACGTAAAACAGATTACTACGGTTCATCCAAAAGTCATACCTGTTGTGTATTTCAAAGTCATTGGTTCTTTCCACATGCAAAACGAAACTTCGATTCCCGTTCGCCATCCACCAGCGCATGCTGACATTCCGTCGCGAAAGCGTCATTTCTGTGTCGTGTTTCACCCAATCGCACGATGAAAAAAAAGGAGAGGTTAGTGACACCTCCGCGTTGCCGCTTTTGCCTCGCAGGGACCCTTTCGCCGCTCACAGGCAGCAGATGAGGAGCATGTTCGGACCGTTCGGCATGGACCCTTTTGCACTCGCGCCACAGATTCAAGCGCCTCGTGCACCACGGCGACAGGTAATGGAACAAAAATATCCGGCCTACATTTTTATTTGACGTTTTCCCCACTTATCTTTGCTCTGCACCATTTTCCAGGCCGGTGCCTTGACCCCGTTTGGCATGATGGGAATGGTGAGTGTCCCCCAAGTATCTTGGTCACTTTAGATTTTGAAACGGTCCATCACCATTCAACCCTTGAGATGACTTTCACATGTTCCCGGTTAACATTATTCTCACCGTTTGCAGGGTGGAGGGTTCATGGACATGTTTGGCATGATGGGGGAAATGATGGAAAACATGGTGAGTTCATTGGACAACGTCTAAGAGTGAGAGAGAGAGAGAGAGAGAGAGAGAGAGTTGAATTTTACGAAGGTGTTGGGATCGGAGAAGTCACAAGATCACAGCATGCATCACATCACTCACGGCAAGCCGAGTTTGAACATAGACGAGAAACTGTAGTTCTCCAAAAGACGAGAAACTGTAGTTCTCCAAAAGCCGAAAGTTCCTCCATCGGCGAGCAGCACTCATACAAGGCCCAAAACAATCGGCGTCCTGCGGCCATCCCATCGCAGTCAAGCGGTGACAGGAGCAATCGCTTCAACAAAGTGTTGAAAATAAACAAAGCAGTATGGAACGCGTTGAACGAGTTTTGGACTTTTCATGATAGTTAGCTTTTATTTGGGTTTGAATTTAATTTTTTTGTTTTAATTCATTTTGCTTGAATTCGTTTTTATGTGTTCGGGAATGCAAGAGTCGACATTTTCGACATGGGGAAAAGTATCGTTGGGCTGCCAACAACAAGAGGGGGAGGAGTCATGAGAGTTGAATGAATGCATTGGTGAGGCATCAAAATAGCTACACCCAACATTCTCTTCCAGGAGAGGATTTCTGGATCGCCCAACTGTCAGACCTTCTCGTCGTCAACAGTGATCTCGTACTCTTCCATGGACGCCGGGGCTCCTACAGTGTACCAGCAAACCCATCAAACAAGACATGGCCCAGGAGGGGTGAGAACATGCGCTTTCATGCTCGCACAAGACCTCGTTGCAGAACTCCCCTTAAAACAATCCCGTCCTTGGGTTCCATTCATATTGGGGGGGGTCAAACCTGCATCATTGCGGGCTTAATCAGAGATAAACCGCAGAGTATCGGGAAAAACTCTGGCAGCTTCGGCGGGCCACGTTAAATCATTCTGATAATAATGATGTGGAGAGCCCGATTTGGCCCCCGGACCTCGAGTTTGACTCCTGTGCATCGATGCATCGACCGGTTTTGTAAACGGCAGGCGATTGGTTGCAGATCCGGGAGACCCGTCAGTCCATGCGAGACAGCGAAAGCGGCCTGGAGCGCCTGGCCATCGGCCACCACATCGGCGAACGCGCGCACATCATGGAGCGTTCGCGGAACCGCCGCACCGGAGACCGCGAAGAACGGCAGGACTTCATCAACCTGGACGAGAGTGAGTTGAGAATACTGTGGCACCTTGACTTCCTGCCCTCGCGTGTGAGCGAGCAGGGCTAAAATGCAATGCAAAAAGATGTTTTTGTGGCACCTCGAACAGATTAATGGCATTTTAAGTCACTTTGATGGGGACAATTTCTTTGCTCTACAAATACATCGAATCATTTGAACTTGTGAGTCAAGGTAGCGCTGTATTTGTGTTATTTGAGGACTAACAATACTTCGGCTAAACAAGCCGCGCCAATGCGGTTGAACAACCGACCCTTCCTGTTTTGTCAGCCGAGGCCGATGCGTTTGACGCGGAGTGGAGGACTCAGGCGGGGCGATACGCTCCGCCCAGCGCCCGGGGTTTGGACTACGGCCGAGACCGACGGGCGGGCGGTCAGCAGCTTGCCCTCACCGCGCCGCCCAGCTCCACGACCCCGCCGGGACATCGGCACGACTCCCCCCGACACCACCCGCCTCAGTCTCGCCCGCGTTACGACTGGTGAGAGGTACGGGCTGCATCTTCTCAGGAACGACTTTCTACACGGCTTCCTCTCACGTCCCCCAAAATATGCATTTTGGGTTACCTGAAAACTCAAAATCACGGGTGAGCACATTTTTGTGCTTCCTCCAAGGTTGTTGTAGTTAAACGAACGGTTCCAAATTTGCTTCTTTGTGTCTATGCTCAAATGAGTTTGCCCGCAAAATATACATTTTTATTGAGGAACGCAAGTCCAATTCATCATGAAATTAAATGTCATCATACCTGAGGTACTCACAGTAGGACTGTCTGCCAACTCTTCATTCATGTCGACCTCTATATTGGTCTCAGCATTGATGACGTGCACTCAGTGACATAAGACAGTTCCGTGGAGCAGAGCCTACAATAAAACAAAAAAGTGAATTTATCTGGAAAAAATAGTCAAACCTTTGACTGGAAAAGAGTAGAAACATTTAATTCACGACTAACAGGAAACAATGACCAAAGGAGGAAAACAATTACCTGATGTGGTGTCGGAAGATCAAAATATTTCCAGACTTGTGAAAATTTTGATTTGGCGGAGCACATCCAAACGATGATTTTTAAATTTTTTTTTTTAATTTTTATTAAAGCGATACACGCACCAATAAGGGGTTTCACACTTGCAGACTCGGCACAGTGCTGACGCACCGGTGTTGTTCGTCCCCACCACTACTAGCAACGGGTCCAAGGTGTATCACACCTCTCCCCCAAAGTCAACAACTCCAGCTCACCCACTACCCTGATGAGGAAGAGCGCCACAGGAAATAAGATGAATGGATTACCCGCTATCAAGTGACACTCCTTCTCTCCTCACAGGAGTCCCACCTGTAAACATGAGCCGACCGGCGGAGGAGCGCAGGAATTTCTCCACGGATCCTGTGAATCATCTTGAAGATCGTTCCAACCTCCTTTTTGATGTTGAAGTCGACCGGACTGTCTCTACCATAAACACGTAACATCTCCCAAACCAACCAACCAACCAACAACGCCCTCTTGTTCACCCCCCCCCCCTCCTCCGCACACTCACACACTTGTATAAAACACTCTTGCTTCCTCCTCAAGATTTGATGTTTTTGCCCACTAAAAAAAGTGCTCCAAGTATAAAGTGCATCTGCTGTACAGGTCGTTTTATGTTTGTGGAGACACAAATGTGTCTGTGAAATGAATTGTATTCTGTTGACTTATTGAACTAGCTAGATGACGTTAATAAAACATTGCTAGATAACTCCAGGCTGCGTCTCTTCTGTGGAATGCGGTGTTTGCCCGATGAAAATGCACGAAATACGCCAACCATATCAAAAACACTTTGTTTTTGTCATGTTTCGGTTTGGGACCAACAGGTGGCACTGGAGGGCTTCCCCTGCAGCTGCACACCTGTTGGTCATTAGGTAATTAGTGCTTTAAAAGGACTCCCAGCCCGACCACTTATTGTCGGGTCATTGTTGCTCTTTGCCACTGTCATGTTTGTTTGTTGCCGTTTCTCTGCTGCTGTCAGGTTTGTTTCGGTCATGTTTTGGTCACAGTTCTGTTCCAGCTTCAGTTGTGATTTTTGTTTGCTACTTTGGACTTTGTTTGTTTTGGATTTAGTTTTCTGAGTTTTAATACAATCTTTCAAGTACACCCTGCTCCTCCCTCCTGCCTGCTTTTTTGGGGTCCACCACCACCTTGCAACGTGACAGTTTTACCCCACCCATGCATTTTAAATACATTTAAACTGTTTTTTTGAGTATATTTATCACCAAAACCCACTCAAATGTACAAAAAAAAACACCATACATATTGTAGTGCTTACTGGATACGACATGCATGTATGTGTCTTTAAGAGGCGGGGCTTGAAGGCATGGCACGGGATGTCTGCGTGTGGGTGTCGGGGAGAGCTGCGGCCTACGGCAGCTTCTGCGTGAATGCTTAAGTTGTTTCACTGTTCTTAAACACCAACTGTGGGCTCTCCTTTCCCACATGTGAGGGCATTAGTGTAAGCATACTGTTAAAAACCATTAAAAATTTGCTTTAAAAATCTGTAATAAAATTTTAAAAATCTAATAAAACAAAACCATTGTGCTTTTGTTTTTTTTAGTGTAGAATATTCCAAATTTCTATGGCGGTTATAATGTGTTTCGGTAACACATCTGAGAAAAAAAACAAAAAAAACCTTGGGATCTAACAACATTAAACTACTTTTAAAATCTATTTTCAAAAAGTAATCATCGAAAGGATATCTATTGATGGCAAGATCAAATTTTAGAAAGCGAGGCCTGCTATTTTAAAACTGTTCAACATAGTTTGAATTCATCTTTGAAACCGTATTGATCAAATATTGCACTGATTGGGTGAAAATTCAGCCTCTTTAGTCGATGACAACCATTTCTAATCTCAACACGGATGTGGAGGGCACCATGAGTGTTTTTGCCTCGTGACTCCAGCATGCCCCTGAGTCGCCGTCGTTTGGACACCCCTGATCAACGTGACATCCAGATGGCACTTGCGGCCCAGCCGATGAGCACCAAAAAAAAAAAAAAAAAATCTCTCCAATAAGAGCCCTCGTCCTCCCCCCTCTGCGCTTGTCTACCAATGAGACACCCACGACTATTTTTAAAAGCACGTCGTCCCTCCAGGCAGCGTCACCTGTCTACTACCTGTTTCCTCGTCTTCCTTTCATCAGCGCCGTTGTCAGATCACAGTCGACTTTGAGGCTGGCAGTTTTTCCCAATTTGAACAGATGTAACACGGGGGCTCTGTCTCTCTCCTACCGAGCGTCCTCGAAAGTGTGACGTTCTCATTGGAGGCCGCGAGTCAAGCATCATCAGACGCCCTGCTATTCCACCCATCCCCATCTTTGCTCCGCCATTCCTTCCCGTGCTGCCTACATCTCCCTCCCAACACTGCGCACCCTCTCGTGACTCATCAGAACCCCCCCCCTACCCCCGCCCCTCCTCTTGCATAGTACTCACCCTCCTCCTCCTCCTCCTCATCTCCCATTTCCCTCCTTCCTCTCATTGCCGCACATCCTCTCGCTTCCTCCGCCGGGCGTCAAACAGGCTGCAGGTAAGAATTTCTCCGTTCACTCCGTCAGTCAAGCCTCCATCTTCTCTCTCGGCCGCGATGGTGACGATCCAGCCATGATGAGCGGATTCCCACTGGAGAATGCAGCGTTTGCTTTTATGTCGGGCGCCTTTGCAGGAATCATATGTGTACCGGCCGATATGGAAAACGGGGCACCTTGAGAGGCATTCTTTTCACACAAATACTCGGCAAGCTAAAATCCAAATGATGGATTGCGTGTCATTTACTTTGATTTTGACAGGATGTCCATCGTGAATATTGTTGCCAGGGAGATCTTGGACTCCAGGGGAAACCCAACAGTGGAAGTTGATCTTCGTACCGATAAAGGTTATTAAAATTGTATTTGCATGTCCAAGGTTGAATCCCTCGATACAATTAGGCGCGGAATCATTTTTAAGACAAGTGTCCAAATACTTCAACAGTACCTGCAAATGATGGTGCTCTGCATTAAAAAAAAAAAAAAAAAACTTTAATCAAACCTCCATTGTGATTGTGCAACAAAAGTAAAAGCTGACATTGGCCAAAGACGTAACTGTAAATGCACCCACAGCTCACCATTTTGTCTCCAATCCAGGTCTTTTCCGAGCCGCTGTGCCGAGCGGCGCCTCCACCGGAATATACGAGGCTCTGGAACTCCGAGATGGAGACAAGACTCGCTACAAGGGCAAAGGTAGATGGAAAGATACTGCAGAGTAAATAATAATCCTACAGCGATATCGCAACACAAACAGTCCAAGAGTGTGCTATGGTGTCAGTTTTGTACTGCGTCACACTGAGAGATGTTCACTCATTTAACGACCGGTATATGACAAGGAAAAAAATTTGAATAGCTAGAAAAAAAAAAAATCTCACAAATTGTTGTCTCTGAGGATACGTCACACAGCATGCGAACCTGTGATGAATATGGCGATTATTGTGGCGGTCTACAGTGATGCACAGTGGATAGAGAAAGTCTACAAAACCCCTTCTGCGGTTTTGTGAGATACTAAATACCAATCTGTGGCAGCACAACACATTCTCGTCTCGGGCTAGAAAGTGAAAAACTGTCAGGAAGGGCCCGTTAAAACAGCTGGAACTGGGGTTCATCAAACGCATGCTAATTCCCATGAAAATAAGTTTGAATGTCATTGATAACACAGCCGTAAGAGCTTGCGCAATCACGCTACCTCAGTTGTTTATTTTTAATTCCACTGTCAAAAATTTGAAAATCGTTTTGTACAGGGTTGTGAGCTACATTGACGGTTGGATAAAAACATTTGAAATGGTTCATCTTGAGGTTTTTTTGGATCACTCTCTCACACACACACACACACACACACACACACACACACACACACACGAGCTGCAGTGGTTACTAACTACTTGGGTCAGCTTGCTACACATTTGACCGAAGATCGACTTTTGAAGGGACAAACCTACCGCCACACACACACACACACACTTTGTGCCGCCAGCGTCACACAGACAATATTTTGAATGACGTATTCTGTGCTTGTGTCTCAGGCGTAACCAAAGCTGTCGGTCACATTAATGACACCCTTGGACCTGCCCTCATCCAGTCAGTGAGTCGGACAGGATAAAAGAGTAGATGACCACGTTTTGTCTTCACGTCGATGGCGACATGATGTCTCTCGTGTGTGCGTTTCAGGGGATCAGTGTGCTGGAGCAGGAGAAACTGGACAACCTGATGATCGAAATGGATGGCACCGACAACAAATGTAGGCCTTTGGTTGGCACGATTCCCACGTTTGATCCAACGCCGAATGTATCAGTCGCTTCTGTCTGTTGCAGCTAAGTTTGGCGCCAACGCTATTCTGGGTGTCTCGCTGGCCGTATGCAAAGCGGGCGCGGCGGAGAAGGACGTCCAGCTGTACCGTCACATCGCCGATCTGGCGGGAAACCAAGACCTGGTTCTCCCGGTCCCTGTGAGTCCAACGTGTTGGAGCTCCTCCTTCCCGATCTGCAGCCAACGAATCCCTCCAGCCATTGTCGGTGAACTGGAGTTGAAATGGCCTCTCGTGCGCTTCACTTTCAGGCTTTTAACGTGATCAACGGGGGCTCTCATGCCGGGAATAGGCTGGCCATGCAGGAGTTCATGGTACTCCCCGTCGGGGCGGAGTCATTCCGCGAGGCCCTGCGTGTGGGGGCGGAGCTGTACCAGACGCTGAGGGGCGTGATCAAAGAGAAGTACGGTCAGGATGCTACCAACGTGGGAGACGAGGGGGGGTTCGCACCCAACATTCAGGAGAACAGTGAAGGTGAGAAAGCCGAAATCAAACCGTGGAAGCGACAACTCGATGAGGCTCATTTCGCTCACTCACTTGTGCCCCCAGGAAATGAAATCTATTATGATCTGTTTCCTTTCATGAAGAAAAGTCATCATTGCATATTTAATAAAGACAATTTCAAAGACTGTGTTCACATGTAATACAGTGGGATTGAGATAGAGCCTTGCCATGAAGAATAAAAATCCATGACTAAATGGTGCACCCCAAAGGTTTATAATTGCCTAAAGATGACACAAGAGGACAGCAAGGCACTTACTGAAGCTCCTCGACTCACTTCAACATCGTTCTTAGGCACCAAGATGGCGCCAAAGCAATACTTTTACATGACACATGGCACAAACAGAAAAAAAGCCAACAAAGAAGCAACATTCAGTTCTATTTTTACATAAAAACTGGGGCTGAACTTCAAATTGTACCACATGGAAATTCCACTAGAAATACTCCAATAGAATAAACACTCTTGACTGATAAACATCATTCAGTGTGACCTGACTCCTCTGCAGCTTTGGAGCTGATCAAGACGGCCATCGAGAAGGCAGGCTTCACTGACAAAGTGGTGATCGGGATGGACGTGGCCGCCTCCGAGTTCTTCATGGAGGGCAAGTACGACCTGGATTTCAAGTCCCCGCCCAACGCCGCTCGCAACATCAGCGGCGAGGAGCTGGCAGGCATCTACCAAGGCTTCATCAACAACTACCCAGGTCCGTCCGTGATTGTGTGGCTTCTGCTCCTCCCTTATCGATTATGTGTACGATCCTCATCCTCATGCCATGGGTCTCATTTCCTCTGCTGTCACTTTGGAGACACCAAAAAAAGGAGCGAGCAAGTAAGCTTGTTGACTCCTCAAACACACACACAGACACACAATGAGACTTGTTAAAAGAGGTTTTAATGACCTGCTACGGCGCTCCTTTGGCAGGCGAGGACGTGCCTCTTTGTCCTTGTTAATAGCGCGTGCAACTGCGTGGAACACCATTGCACGCACGGCGCTGTAAATAACTTGTCGAGCACTGAGCCTCAAGGCGCGCCATGTGCTGCTTTCCCCGCAGTTGTTTCCATTGAGGACCCCTTCGACCAGGATGACTGGCCAGCTTGGACTCAATTCACGGCCTCAGTGGGCATTCAGGTATTAGACACACAAAAACACTGAAGGTTGTATTCACACCTACACTCTTTGGGCCCCTTTAAACGGACCAGAGGGTTCGTTCCCCACGCTGGTTGGGCCGAAACTTCTATTCAGGTGTGAGTACACACAAACGAATCTTGTTCCGGACCGAGACCCACTTTTTGAGGTGCTCTGGGTGCGCTTCCAATTGAACTCGCTGCGGTTCGCTCCGGTCTGATTACAAGCCGCTGCCAAACCGCACCGCATACAGGTTACAAGCGACTGCTTGGGCTTAATGAGCCACCGTAGCCCGGCACTGTGGCGTACACGTTCCTGTGGGTACCACACTCGCTCGTCGACGTTGTTCCAATTTTTTTTTTTTAAACAATAGCATCGCAAAACGTGCATTGAATGAGTTATTCTTGACACTCACAAATATTTTGCAGCCCCACTGACAGCAAAAACACGCAGAGCAAGAACGCAGCATGTCGACAATGCACGTTTTTCTCTATTTCCGGGTTTGCGCTTTCGGTGCTGAACCTCGTCATTTCTGGCCAATGGGAGCACCGATCGTCCCACGCGTCAATGTGTTTTCAGAAAATGGTTCACTTGCAAAAAGTACAGAGAATACGAACCGCGCCCAAAGGAGTTTGATGGTGTGACACACCCCTGTTCAAATGCCAAGTTTTTGTGAAAAAAAACAACAAAAAGACCCTAGGTGTTTTCCTTTTTAAAACCAGGCTTCTGTTTTGCAACCTTGCCCCATAATCTGGTAATTTGAACAAGAGTGTGTATATTTTTAAATCTCCACTGTAAATAGATAAGCGGATAGAGATATTCTGTATCCTAAATGTATTGTACAGGTGGTTGGGGATGATCTGACCGTCACCAACCCACGTCGGATCCAACGCGCCGTGGAGGACAAAGCCTGCAACTGCCTGCTGCTGAAAGTCAACCAGATCGGCTCCATCACGGAGGCCATTAAAGCGTGAGTTGATTCCGCTCGCGGCATGAACGCACGCATCCCCGCAGGCGGCCTGCATGTACAAGTACATTATCCTGTTCTCCTCCAGCTGTAAGCTGGCCCAGGAGAACGGCTGGGGCGTGATGGTGAGCCACCGCTCGGGCGAGACCGAGGACACCTTCATCGCCGACCTGGTGGTGGGTCTCTGCACCGGACAGGTGAGAAACGCTCGTGATGTCACAGATTATCAAGTGCAGTTGTGCCTTGAGATACAAGTGACCCACCTTTCAAGTTTGCCGAGGTATGAGCCGTTTTTTTTTCTTGGGTGCCAAAATTTAAGATGTAAGTATAGCACGGTGGCAATGAACTCAACTTACTTGGCAACAAGCAGCAGTTTGGCAGGGAGTGAATGTTTCTTCAAAAAAGTAGCTTCGGGCTTTTGCCACTCCCGGTTTAAGTTTTCTGTCAAGCTGCGCATACAACTGAGAATTACAGATCAGGTATTTCAAACAGCGGCATCACTTTGCCGTCAAGCCCATTTGTTTACTGCCAACTCATCATCGGAAAGGCCTCAGACAGGCTAACGAACGCCCGAAGCAACGGCCATTTGAACAACACAGATGAGCAGATAATATCACAAGAATCACAAGCATACAATCTTTATCCTCTGCCAAGAACAAATAATATTACTGCGGCTTTATGAGGAACTAAAACCATGTTGCGTATATCTGTATTATATTGACAACACGAACTGGAGCAGCACAATGCACGTTGTATTGAAGCAAAAAATAAATAAAAATTGGCGTAAACGTTTTCCTATTTGGGGCTGGTACAGATATTTGGAATTTCCATTCATTTTAATGGGGGAAGATGACTTGCGAGACTGTTGAGTTCCAACTGCAGTCAAGTCAAGTTTCGAGTATGTATCCAAAACAGTCTCAAAGGGCTTCTTCACAAGCAAACAGTTGACAAATATGAACGACATCCCCCCGATCTATAGGGAGTGAATGAAACACATACGGTGTCTCAAAGCCTCAATGCATAGACAGTGGAACCCCAAAAGTGGATCGCAATCTATTCGGGGAGACTGGTTGACAGCGGAGTTGCTTTCCGGTGCAAAGGCAACAACGCACAGGGACTTCAACTTTGACCGTCATGATAAAGAATATATTTTTGTCTTTTCTTAGATTAAAACCGGAGCCCCCTGTCGCTCCGAACGTTTGGCCAAATACAATCAGCTCATGAGGTGCGTATCCACGTGTGCACTGCATGTCAAACGCAAATAGTGTACTCATTGGTGAAAAGTACTTCAGCTGACTTTTCAGTGATGTGTACTTGTGTAATTTCTCTTTCGGCCACCTTTTTCTCTTCCTCCCTTCACTTGACAACATACATTATCTGTACTTGGTGAGTACTCTGCAAATAGTCACTAATGTGTTTATTTGTCCAACCTTTCCCTTCCTTCCATCAACTTCAGGATTGAGGAAGAGTTAGGCGAGCAAGCTCGCTTTGCCGGGCACAACTTTCGCAATCCCAGTGCGCTCTGAGCACCCGGCGGTGACGTCGGCATGCGGTCATTGTGCCACATGCACCGGAAATGCTCCGTTGCGCTACCACAAGCTTTTGTTATGATGCGGCCGAGTTCACTGATTGGTGCGGGCGTCTCCCTGCTGCGCTGACTTGCCATCACTGCATTCCGTCAACTGTGAATGATTTTTGTCCTTTAGTGTGCTCTTGTCGTCTTCCCTGACTTTCCTACTGTGAATACGAAGCAGCTTTAAATCAAGTGATGTGTGTGACTAATTGTGGCAAATAAAAAGATGGGTACAATGTGACTCTGTAGTTATGTTTCTTGATTTTCGAAAATGTACATTCACTCGCTCCTGCATTAACTGTACCTTGGAATTCCAATGAGTGTCAGTGCAACCATTTTATCCTGAAGGTTTTTCTCCTATTTTCTCCCTTTCCTTTCGCGAAGAACGGTGACCAAGATATTTGAAACCGCCATGGCTATGATGCGGTGCAGTCGTACATCACCGCAGACTACAACCACAATAATAAACATTTTGTCACAGATGACCACATTGTATCCCAGCACACAGTCCAGAATCAATTGCAAAAATGTCGACAATGGCAAAATACTTTCACTTATTATTGTAAAATATAAACTATTGTCCAGAAAAAAATATCATAAAATGACTGATGACTTTATTATTGTAATACTGTAACTTGTTTTTTTCCTTCATTTGCTTAGAATTACATTTTACTCGTAATATTCCAACTTTCAACTAATTTTGCAATTTTACACCCCTTTTTTTACTCTTCAAATTTCAACTGTCATCTCTTGCAATTTTTTTTTTCTTGTAAAATGTGCCTCTGCTTTTCAACTTTAGTCATTTAATAATCTCATGTTCTAATATTTTTTGTAATATGTTCAAATGTATTCTCATGAAATGAAAACCGTTTCTTGCTAAATGAAGACTTTATCCTTGTAGAAATGCCACTTGTTCTTGTAAATTGACATTTCTCGAGCAAAATGAAGACTTGTGACTTAACTCTTGCAGCCTCTGGCGTTCAATCCTCTTGTTGTGTGTGCCTTTGCGTCTTTGGGCTTGTCCAATCAACAGAGGTCACCAGAATGTGGCACTCCAATCTGAAAAGGGTTACAGTGGCTAAATTAGCATTTTTTGTTAGTTAGTGTAAGAGTCAAACTAACACTACGTGGGTGTTAGACAACATATTACGGGATTGTCAGTAATTTATTGACAATCCCTCAAGTTTCTTTCATTACTGACAGTAAATTGAGCCACCATTATGCAAACGTCCATAAAAGGAACTCAAAAAGCAACACGATCGCCTTGGTCGTTCACGAACGAGCACGACAGGAAAGTAAAAAAAAAAAAAAAAAAAACGTTACTTGAAAACGTGTTGGGATTAATTTTATACAATGTACTTTTTACGTGTATTTATTATTATTATTTTTTTTTATATATATAACACACGTTTGCCTAAGTGTACCTCATCTTGTGGCCGATAGGTGCCATGTCATGATCACGTGCTGACAGAGACGTCACGAGAAAATTCAAAAAGCAAACCGCAGGGGGAGCCCGAGTGTTCTGAGTAAAATTTCGTTTGTGTGTGTGTGTGTGTGTGTGTGTGTGTGTGTGTGCGCGCGCGGGTGGGTGCGTGCGGATTATGGAGTCACGCAGGCGCACTGGGCACAGTCTCCGGCCAGGTTGCTATGGTTACCACACAATAGGAGACGGGACAGGGGGCTGCGTGAAGGAGAGAGGGAGAGGGCGGAGAAAGAGGAGGTCTGCAGAGCCGCTTGGCTGGACACAAGCTTCTCCCAGACAGACAGCTGCAGGACAGACGACCATCAAGAAAGTCACGATGAAAAAAATAAACACTATTTTGTTGTTTGCAAGGCAAAAATCTTACATATAGTCGAATGTAAAGGTGACTTCCCCCTCCTTGTCGTCTCCCCCTTTTTTCGAGTCTCCTTATTCAAATGACGCCTTCCTTCCACTCCTTTTCTCATCCCTCTCTCCGTTGCTTCTCACAGAGCCAGGCAGAAGTACATAAATATATATAAAAAGTCGTCTTGGAGGAAGGAGGAGGGGGGGGGGAGGGGGGAAGCAAAAAAAAAAAAGGGGGTGGGGAAGAGGCGAGCGCACATACGCATCAATTTGTACAGTTCAGCTTTTTCCACGCCGCTACCGAGATTTCAGCCGCATTGTTGCTATTGCCCGGTTGCTGCTACTGCTTCTTTGTGTGCGTGCGTGTGTGTGTGTGTGTGTGTGTCTGTCTGTGCAACATGAGGCGGCGCGCGTTGCGTGAAAAGGCGACAAAAAGGAGGGCGAGGAAGGAAAAAGGGGGAGTGAGAGGAGCAGCGGCGGCGGCAGCACGCATCGCTGGATATTAAAGGTAAGCACAATTAAGGGGAGGAGGTGGTAGGGGGCATAGGGGTGCAATATAATGCATGCTTATGCTGTGTTTTGGAATCTACAGCACCATCATCAACGCACCCCCCCTCTCCCTCACATCCCCCTTTTTCCATTGTGCCTTATTGTCATCCCAATGCTGCGTTCAAGATGACGGCCACATTCCTGCAAAGCAAAAAAGAAAAAAAAACAGACATAGAAGAGGGGGGAGCCGGTGCTAGATGCAATCATTCCGCCATTCCCTAATCTCTCATCCATGCATGTGGTGCTCCTGGCGTCTGCACAGAGCTGACTTTGCATGTGTGTGTATCAATTACACTGCAGTAGGCTCATTACTGTTTTTTTTTGGGGGGGGGGGGGTTTGCAAGTTCATGACCAGTGTGGCCAATGTCAGGGCAGCCAGCTGCCACCTGTATCACACATCTGCCCTTGTTAGCGTAGAGTGGGCCCATAAACACGTGTGAATGTGCTCCATCTTTTTTTGATTGTGTGGGTCTCTCTCATCGACTTAGTCACTGCAGCATGCACTAATAATTAATGCACAGTCATGTGTAGCGCTGCCGCGGCTGCGGGCGGTGTTTGTACACACGCACGCTGCCTAAAAATGACAGTTTCCCCATCTGGCAGCGCATACTATTTATATCCCTCATTCAAAATACATTGGCCGTTTTTCACCGTGGCATGAATGAATGGATGCGGCCATCTTTTTTTTTTTTTTTTTTCCCCTCACCAACGACTCTTCTCGCAGCGAGAAATGAGCATGTGATGCTTGCCAGTCATAACCAGGTCATGTGGGTTAACCACAAGTGGCTGATGGTTAGGGATGTGGTGGTGGAAGGGGGGAGTGACTTCCATTTGCCGGACAGCGTGACCAAAACGCATGCACGCCTGCGTGTACGCACGCCTAATACCAAGTGCTCTTTGGTGGCCAAACCACCGGGGCCTTCAATGTGTGCCAGTAGGTTTTTGGCCGCCGTGTGACTGTTGAGAGCAGCAGTGAAAAGCGGTGGCATTGGCGCGGAGCGAGACATGCTGGGAATTCAAATGCTGAACCAAATCTTTTGCAGTTGTAAATGACATGTTTTAACACAATGGTGCACATTCTTCTTCTGCACACATGGTGTGCAAGTCTATTTTGCGAGTGACCAAGGCATCCGCTTCCACATGTGTGGACGTCTTCTAAATCAGCACGTGAGCCCAAAGACCCAATAAGGCCTTCTTTGTTTATGATCCTTTTCAGGTTTCCCCGTGCTCTATCAGTTGAGTGAGTAAGCAACCCCAGACGCGACCCGTTCACTCCATACAATGGCTTGTGTAGTAAAATGGACGTTATAAAGCCGAAATCATGAAAACACGGACGCACAAAGACTCGGTATGTGCAAGGCACACGCAAATATTGACTCCACAAGTTCGTCATGGGACTATTCACCCTCACCGCAATGTGTTTCAACACCTTGTTTTGGATTTACAGGTGCCCATGCGCACTGGGCGGCGGCGGGGAGCGAGCGAGGAGAGGAGGGGTCGACGCCCACATGCCAGCCCCACTCGCGCTGAGCGCAACGAAAGACAGACGGTACAGTATACAGTATACTCTCTTGGTTTTCAAGGTTACGTCACGTGCGCACGCTAGTACAGATCGGGACGCTTGCGACGTCCAGAGGGTATTTATAACTTGGATATTTGAGATGTATCGGGATTGGTGCGTGGATGAAAGTGGTCCGAACACAGAGGTTAGGTATTTTAACGCATAACATGAGAATTCATCGGATTGTTTCATCGTAGCCAAGAGGTGGCAGTGAGGAACTGGCTGGGAATCGCTTCAGTCGCAGATCGCAAGGCCATGATTCATCGGAGAGCGAGGGGGAGGAACTTGTGTCTCCAGCAAAAAGGCAGAAAGTTCAGGTTGGTCTTGCATTTCATCAGCCTGTTATATAAAGCTTGAAATCATTCATGTGCAAGAGCAACAGGGAGTTATTTTCGCCCCGCTGAAATATGCCCTGGCAATAGGTCCTTTCACGGCATTGATTTTTTTTTTTTCACTTGATCCACAAATGATCTTTTCTTGTCAGGATTCGGCAGCCACCTCGAACCCTCCAACATCAACACACGCCGCTGACAGCTTGGCTCCCTCTGCCGTTCCGCCTCCAACCTCTGCGGTCAGCCAATCCCGCGAGAGTGACAATGAGGATGGCCAATCCCAGGGCAGCAGGAGTTCGGTCGTCGGGAGCCTGGCGAATAGCAGCAGCAGCTTGAGCAGCGGGCGGGACATCGACCAGGACAATCGTTCTTCTTCCCCGAGTCTCTCCGCTTCCCCTCTGGGTAGCCTCGACTCTGATTCTGAGGGCCCAGACTCACCAAAGCAAGGAGAGCGGGAACGGGAGAAAAGTAAAGATGGAGGAGCGGGAAGCGTGTCCGTCGATGACAGAAGGGCGCAACGGGAGCGGAGAGGGGAGGATCCTTGCGGGGACGAACAAAAGACGGATACAGATGCACGAATTGAGGACTGTGCGCTTAAGCCTATCCATCCTTGCCCCTCCTCTGGTCTCAATTCCTCGGGTCGTGGCGCTGGGGATTCTTCTTCCAACGACAGCACTGGCGGGAGGAAGTCATATTTCTCCCTGGACTCCAAACTCATTTCCAAAGTGGAGTATGATGGACCAACAGGCACTGATGCGATGCCGAGTGGCAATAGAATCAATTCCAAAGCCAACACACAATGTGTTACAAAGACATCTGTCTCAGGTGGAGACTTTTCCCACAACAGCCCCGGCATTCCCCATTCCTTGCCCCCGCCGCTTCCTCCCCCACCTGCTCTAAAACCACTGGAGCTTGGGGGACAAAATCTCCCTCCCGAGGTTAAAATAGAAAGAGAGAAAATGGAAAAGGCAGAA